CACACATAGATCAAAGAAGTTGCGTCGAGACTGGAGGGTTGGAAGTTTGAAGTATTCGTTCCTTACCGATGCTTTTGGAATTTTAGCATACAGGAAACCTCCGCGACGGATAAGTATTTTCCTTGTGAAATTGTTTTGAACCTTTTCAACGAGAGCGATATCCTTTTTCTTATTAGGGTAGAATATGACAGTCCCATTTTCCACTAACGGTCGAACATAAGTTTTGTATGCGTGGAGAAGTACCTTGCTGTCATTGGTCGCTAGGGCCTTGAATATATTATAGGTACGATGGAATGCCTTCTTATAAATATGTCTGTGATGTGAAGAAAAGTCAAGTTTGTCATTATAAAGAAAACCTAAGTCCTTTACTTCCTTAACCTTTGTTATCTCCACATCATCGAATGAAGTAAGTGGTAGAATGTCCGAAGAAGGGCCTAAGTGCATGTGGAAAGATTTCGCCGCGGAAAGCGGGATTTGCCAGTCAGTGGACCATTTAACAAGCATATCTATAGTAGCTTGGAGGGCGTGTGCATCCTGTAAGGAGTTTATGATTTTGTAAAACTTAAGATCATCTGCGTACTGCTTGGACACAACTTCATTCTGTATGCCTATATAACCAAGATCAGCCGAGTAAATATTAAAAAGTATGGGAGACAGGACCCCTCCTTGAGGGATGCCGCTAAGGAGCTGAAAGACATTAGAATAAGAATTGTTAATGCGAACCTGGAAAGTCCTTCCCGTAAGAAATTCCCTAATCCATTTGTATACTTTCTCATGAAATCCTAGTTTATCCATTTTGTATAGCAGCTTCCTATGGCTAACTTTGTCGAAACGCTTTAGTGAAATCGAAATAAATTACATCGACGGCATTTCTTATCATCCAAAGCCTTAGTCCAATCATTGAGGGATTCTAGCAAATTGCTCGTGACGGATCTCCCTACTACGAACCCATGTTGAGAAGGTGGAATTATTTTGTTCTCATCCAAATGACGAATAATATGAGATTTAAGAAGCTTCTCAAAAAGTCTACAAAAAAGGGATGTGATACTCACTGGCCTGTAATTGGAAATGTCCGAGGAGGGTGATTTTTTCAAGATAGGAGTGATATAGGAGTGTTTCCAGAGTCGGGGGACTTGAGAAAACATGATAGACTGATTAAATATGTAAGCCAGAGGGAAGGAGATAGCGTGAGCGATTTTCCTGATAAATACGAAAGGAATATGGTCAGGGGTGATAGAGAATGAGCACGGCCACCTCATCAAAAGGTTGTAGATATCTCTAGGGTCGAAATGGGGGAAGGTTTGCATTGTGCTTGGAACAGTGTGAGAGTAGGATGGAAGTTGACTGTCATCCTGTTGAAAGGTCTTACTGAACTCTTTCGCGAAAGCATTTGCCTTATCATCGTCATTCAAGAGTAATTCACCCTCGTACTTCAAATCCGAAAATTGTGACTCTTTACGGAGTCTAGACCTCATGAATTTGTAAAAGCGTTGTGCGTTCTTAGAGCCTGAATGATATTGCTTTTCGAAACGTTCTTGTTTAAGGGTTTGAGAGCAGACGTTCTGTAAACTTCTTAGAAAATGTGTTGAACTCATTCCAGTCACCACTAAGCTTGGCGTACCGTAAGAGACATTCTTTATGATCTAGCATATTCTGTAGATAATAAGGTAGATTCGGCTTGGTCGGATAGACATAGACCCAAGGAACAAAAATGTCAATAGAATGATTGAGGATTGACAGGAACATATTGTATTTTTTCGTGCCACTGTACTGATGGAAGCCGCGCGATTCGAAAGATTCGATCGGGCAATAGATAGCATAAAAGGTAAAATTTGGCAACAGCCGGTAATCACAGCTTAGAGTAATAGGCCTGCTTGCAAAAATATGAATAGAACGGTGTGGGACGCATACCGAAATCTCGAAGCAAATGCTAAAATGGTCGCTGTCACCAATAGGAGATCTCACAGAAACATTCTTAACAAGTTCATGATCATTTGCATGAAAATAGGTCCATAAATAATTATTCCCTGGTGGGATTCGACGATAAATTGGCATTGAAACGGCATCGCAAAACAAAAGTTTCGGCAAGCGGGTGATATGATTCTTCAATATCATTCCACCGATCCCATTTAATTTCTGGAAGATTAAAATCACCTATTATAATTACCGGGATTGCTGTAGCCGCTAGATCGCTGATAGCCTTGGCTAACTGTTCAGTAATAGTGGATGAGGTCGACGGTGGTCTGTATGCTAATATAATCCGAAAGCGAAATTCAGGGGTGGCGATGTCCGTAACAAGAATTTCGTAACCTAGTGGAATTGACTCAGAAAAGATAACTGAATGATTTATAGTTTTCCTTAGCAAAATTGCCACTCCACCCCCGGCTCTACGGCTTCTATCACAGCGCAAGATAGAATAGTCACCAATCCAGTCATTAAGCATAGAGGAAAATGAGTGATGTTTTTTGAGCCAAGTTTCGGTAAAGAGATATAAATCGTACCTACCTCCGGCGACCAGGTCAAGAGAAATGCAGTTTTTAGGAAACGATCTTATGTTCGTATAGAAAACTGATAAATGAAAAAACGAAGTAGATCTACACCGCTCATCAACAGCTGCAAAGTACCGGAGACAAGGCTTTAGTTTCCCTGATTGCTGGAGTTAGGCTGTGAAACCGAATCTCGGTTATGGCTAACAGCATGAGGAAGAACTGAGTTAAAACGATGAAGACGTTCTTCTCGCCTTCGCTCTCTCTCTGGTTTCGAGAGGGACTCTCTTAAGAAGACCCCTCTCCCAGGGAATGAACGAAGACGGGGAGCCCGTCGCAGTGCGAGTCGCTGGAAATAAGTTGAAGGCATTACAACTTTCAACAATCGATTCTTATTCTGAATCTTACGGCCTAACCTATAGACTGAGACAGGCAAACATTCTATATCTAAGTGAGTGAGAATGTTAAGCACACTGTTATAATCGTAAAACAACCTATTTCTGATAAGAGAGTCATCGAGCTCTGGAACACCTGCTATGACCAGTGAGCGGAGCCGCTCAGATTCGACACAATCGGGATTAGTGATAGGCGAGGAAGTATTTGAATGCTCTATTCTAGGTTCAGATTCACTCAGTGGAACATCGGGGAAATACCTAGCTTTTGACGCAAAAGTAGATTTTCTTGTCTGAGCTTGTCACGCTCTTGTCTAATATCAATGAGCTCATGGATCACAGAGTTGAACGCATTCTTGACACAGTCGGGAACCATGGTGGAAGTATTGACCTCCCTCATAGCATCTTCCAAACAGGGTAGACTCGAAGCTGGGTATGACGGTGAACTCGAGGGACAGGATCGCTTAGTTCCTTTAAAAACGACGCGGCTAGGAGTGTCCATTTTCACGAAAAAATAAAAGAAAATTGGAACAATAGACCTGCTATAACGACCCGAACGATTGTATTGATCACGGGTCGTACGTGATCTCCGCGTGTGAGCAAATCAGTCAAAAGACAAACGGGCGTCACGATGATACAGTGAGTAATTAAGAATAAAGCAGAGTTTCGTAGCTGTAGGCCAATGCAGTAAATGAGCAGTAGTGGAAGGAATACACTGAGCTGGTAGCGCTCGTTCAGATAGAAATAGACGAAATCCAAAGTTTGGATACAAGGAATGGAAGGGCCGTGACAGAGAAACAACGGGCCCGACCGCTCACTGCCGACGCACCGATATGAATGTCTCTGATAAGTAGGCTGGGTACGATCGCGTTCCCTGATCGAGATCCATGATCTTTTGGCGCAGCCTGATCCTTACATGCGGTCTTCGCATTGCCGAGTAGTAGAGAAAAATTGAGTATTTCTGAATGAATTCAAGCGTGACGTCATCCATGTTTTGAAGTGATTAGGTGGACTGTGGTCCTTACAGTTGTGCTGGTATCCAGCGATACCGCTTTGAAGTCCCACCAATAACAGAGTGAAATCTTCTTTCCATGCACATCGGCTTTTGCTAAAGTAATCTACTTCTCTCCGTGCGAGATTTTGCGAGATTTGCACATGTATGTGTACAAAAATTACGCTAGGACTCCACCACTCACTACCAACCATAAGATCTCACAATTGTTCTTCCAGTGTTAGACGGGTCCAACTCATGAGGCATCCTTCACAAAAAAACTTTCCGATAACCGAGATTGCGGAGAAGCATGGCAGTTGTCAGTTAGGTGGAGCCTAGAGAGGTTGCCAACTTACTGGTGGTTACGTTCGGCTGCGCCTCAAGAAGCTTGAGTAAAGGGCCGTCATTCTGTGCTGGTGGCCGACCTATACATTGCCTACCTCCGAATTAAATAAGTCCAGCTTGGAAGCGCTGATGCAAAAGCTACCCTCTGCCATGGCAAGCGATATCCTTCCTTTAAGACAATGTAGGTGTTAGCTTCCTCGACTACGGCTGAGTGGCCCTACAGAAACCATAATATGATATGGGTCGAAAAGTACCTCGATCTCTGAGGGACTTTTAAGCTTTGAAAACTTCCACAAAGTCATGATATACCCATGTGCAGAAACCCCAGAGGACAGTCTCCACTAATCAGGGATAAAACATTCCAAAATGATTTTTGGTCTTTTTCTAGAACAATTCAATCAAAGTGTCGCAGGACTTTCCGTCTAACCTAATATGTTGAAAAGTTGATTCCAACATATGACATAGGGCATGGGACTGGTAACACCATTAAAGGTCCGAAGTCTTATAAGTTACCAAGTACTTCTGGCGAAGCCAGGCCAGCCCTATAGCTATAGAGAAGGACGAGAGGTCGACGTAGCTGGGCTATCATACTGGTGAATTATCAATAAATAAACAAAAATAATAATGAACCATGAGAAGATTCAAAAAAGAAAAAAAAAAACAGAAAATTTCGCTTGGCAGCACTCGAGTCTTGCTTCGCGGCCATTAAAGGTGCATTTATAGTTGGAGCGCGTTCTGTGCCAAGACGTTGGAGCGAGCTATTTCACGGTCCGAATTCAGTTTCAAGCCAAGTAGCCTTTTGCTGCTTCACAGCATTAGGAGTGCCGGCCTCAGCCGCGCTCCGACTGGCAGAAATATTCGAGAGAATCCCAATAGTTGGCTTGGTTCCACACGTACCCAGATGATTAGATAATGCAGAATTCCTAAGTAGGACTTGGGCCTTCTTAGTAATAATGAGAAGATTCATCATTATATCACATCATCTGCTTCCAAACATCAACATCTGCTTCCTAGGACGAAAATTCCTTAACATTAACCTACACACTCAAGAAAGGGGTAGCCGAGCCGGCAGCGTCAGACCTAGGCTAACAGGCCGGCCGATTGAGAGCCCCTTCACAAGAACATGGTTATCAGTCGCGAGAGTAACAGTGATAATGCTAGGACATCCCCTGGCAGTGGCGCGTAGAGCCATCGTTCTGACGTCAATATGCGCGAGCGCAAAGGGGTACACAACCCCGCCAAGATGCTTGTCCAAAGCGGAATTCTGAAGGTAGCATAGAACCTTTGGAAGAAGCTCTGAAAAGTCGCTGATATGATGCAATATCCAAGTCTATGCCTTCAAGAAAGGAGTCAAGGTTCGCAACAATGGAGAAAGTAGTCAAACTTGCACAATGAAAATACCAGTCAGATGGCTGACTCACGCTCGGGTACATCTGTCTGTGACTCGATCGGGCGTGGCCTAGTGGGTGCGACTTCTTCTTTCGGCGAGGCTTTTAGCATTTCCTATTCCATTTCAGACCAATATGGATCGACGTTATAGGCGACCCACCGCTTAAAAGGTGTGGGGACGGCAAATAGAGAGATAGCATGGGTTGTGCATTTGTTTCTCGTCATATTGCCGGCTTTCGAGTATCTGACTGTCCTCCTTTCAAGCGCACTTCGACCCTTCCCGCTCGACATTCATTGCATGCTGATAGCTTGGTTTAGTGTTCACGGAATTTCGTTTTTGCTGCCACCTCGTGGTGGCTAAAAGAATGAGGTTACACAAATAGCCTCTAATTACTTGGCATTATAAGGATAAGAATTGATATGGAATGTAGGTACTCATCTAATCTTATCGATTGGAATTATTACCTGTCACCTATTATCAATGTCCTTATCACCGAATCTTAATAATTTGCTAGTGTAAAAGGTCCATCACTTTGATCAGCGACGACGACTGCAACGTCTCCTATCAGCCCCTATCATTCTTATCGTTTTATCATTGATCACTATTGATGTTCCTATTTTGCACTCTACAATACTTGCAGGGACCAAAGCCTCACTGATGCTTTGACGCGCGCCGATCCATCACCTTAAAGACACATAGTACGCTCATACACATTGAGGGTGTATGAGACTATCAGCCCCCCAGATGTCGATGTGTCGTGGTCCCCCCGCCCAAACATGCCCAGGAATGGAGATACAGGGCCGTGAAACACGCTAATTCTTCCATGCTCCGCCCACTGCCTTTTTACGGCGCAGATTCCCGCCGTTCATAACATCCGTCGTAAGCGCGCCTGTCGCGTGCGGCTCCTTGGCACTTTGCCAAGTCCTTTAATTGCGCTCTCAAATACAAGTAAAACGCAATTTCCTGATGCGGATAACATTGGAGGTGCTGCAAAATAAGAACAGAAGATGATGACGAGGGTCAGAACTTAAAAGCAACTGTGCCACTTCTGCAACATCCCTCGGAGGCCGCGTATTTCCACGAAACATGAAAATAAAAACGGCATACTCGTTAGTTTGATACAAGCAAAACGCAATTTCCTGATGCGAATAAAATTTTAGGTGTTGCTCATGCTTCAAAATCCATGTACAAGGAGATGAAGATGACACAGGCTAGAAATGAAGCACAACGATGTAAATGTAAACAAAACAAAAATGAAAAAATCAAGGAAAGGCAAATTAGATAAACTGGCCTGTAAATTTCTACGATCCGGCCAAAGCCATAGAAATACTTAGAACAAACGAGTGGGACGCTTGGGCTGTTTTTATTTTCATGTTTTGTGGGAATGCGCGGCCCTTGATGGATACTGCAGATGCAGCCGAGTTGCTCTTGAGTTCTGGCCCTTGTCATCATCTTCTGTTCTTATTTTGTAGCACCTCCAATGTTATCCGCATCAGGAAATTGCGTTTTACTTGTATTTGAGAGCGCAATTAAAGGACTTGGCAAAGTGCCAAGGAGCCGCACGCGACAGGCGCGCTTACGACGGATGTTATGAACGGCGGGAATCTGCGCCGTAAAAAGGCAGTGGGCGGAGCATGGAAGAATTAGCGTGTTTCACGGCCCTGTATCTCCATTCCTGGGCATGTTTGGGCGGGGGACCACGACACATCGACATCTGGGGGGCTGATAGTCTCATACACCCTCAATGTGTATGAGCGTACCATGTGTCTTTAAACAACGGGGACGGTGGATATCTCCTTTTCGAACCTCTTATCGAATCATATTAGCTGATATCACTTCCTGTCATTTAAAAACTTGTTCATGTCTCTTACCCTAGATCATATCATGGAATCGACGCCTACCTGGTGCCATCACCCGCGTTATGAATGAGGCGGCCAACACCTTTCTAGCGTCTCTTATCGAATTTTGTCGGCTGGTATCACTTCCTATGGGTCACCGAACCTAGATCTTTTCCTTATCGGATCTTATCAGCTGATGTCACTTCCTGTTATCCACCAAGAGATCGGATCTTATCAGCTAACATCATTTCCTGTTATCCACCAAGAGTGTTCCCCCGTCACACCCCAAAAGTGTTTCGTGACACACACGCACACACACACACAGCATACACACACAACACATAGACAACATACACGCGCCGCGAGATAGCATGCGCTAAATGCGCGAAATGGTAGCAGTTAAATTTTTGTTGAGATAGGAGGGAAATTAGTCAAAAATAGTCTAATTTCAATCATTATCTACCAATATCTTGTCCTTCTTGCTTACTACACCGTAAGAAGGGTGCACTATATCATTACGGACCGCAGTTGCGCCATCAAAATGGGTGGAGTTGATTTAGTCCGGAGTCCTTAACTCCACGAAGAGGTATACGGAGTCATGAGTGGCACTGAGATGGACAACTTCACATTGCATGGACATGTCAAAGTGCATGTCCCACGTAAAGCTCGAACGTTACATTAACAGGACGTCCTCACTCCATTAGCCTTTCCTGAATTTGCTTGCGATCGCCACCTCCTAATACTTCACAGAGCTGGCAGACTTGCGATAATTTTTTGATTGATGAATTTCTCGATTTTCTCTTCTCAGCCGCACTATATAGCCCCCCCCCACTCGACACCATTGCATGCATCTAAAAGCAAATACTTCAATGGACGACCTTGATTCTGTTGCCATCGAAGGCGAGAGTTCAGATACTAACCAGGGAAGGTCAACAGGT